GAAGGAGCTTTTTGCTGCCCGTTCTTTGCATGGTGGCACTTGAGAACATCATAAGCCTTGAGTACAAATAATTAATGCAAGAATAGAGAGAAAAAATGTAGATACTTCATCCTGCTCCGGGTCTGTGAGCTTGTCATTCGAGGCTACTGGTTCAACACCTCCTTGAGCTTCATTGTCAGGATGAGGTCGATCCATATTTTTGTCGAAATCCATTCCATTGTCTGGATCATCTGTTTGCTAGTGTGTGTGCTGACCAGCATATCTGTCCCTGCAATGAGAACATAATATCAGGAATAACACAATTGATAGACCAAAGAACACTTACATTGGTGTGTTACTGTCAGGATCATCATTATGGTCAGCATTGTCATCAGAAGTATCACCTTCATGAGAGCTTGGTGCAAACTCCCTGTAATCCTCTGTATTCCGCCTCTCCTTCTTGCAACCACTATCACACTCTGTAGACTCCCTCTCATGACCTGCATCTCACTGACCCACGTTCCTTCCAGCCATTTTGTGACCATTAGACCGAGGTTCCTTGAATCCGAACCTTTCAGAAGAGTGAGCCACATATTGATTTGGATGGGAAGTGGGAGCCTGAGAATGCTAGCTATTTTCTGTCATTCTGTGTGCATTCAGGGTTTTCTTAGCAGTGCTGCAAGATTTTGCAGGAGGCTGAAAAAATTAGCTTGAACATAATTTTAAAAGATTCACATTACATTTTTTTTTGTTCCTTTCTGAAGCTGCGAAGGAGCCATAGGATTCTCTTCTGAGCTGCTGATTTGAAGGTCATCGCCCTTCGGTCCCTTCCTTGTTGGGGCAGCAACTGTTTCTCCAACTCTTTGCAGCTGTGCTGCATGACCACCAACACCACAGTTAGGTCTTGAGCTTTGGTGAGCAGGTGCCTCTAGATCTGGAGAAGAACATCTAGGCTTCTTCCTTGGAGGCATGGTACCAGATGACCTGAATATGTATGAAGGTAGCTCTAAGTTATACCAATGAACATGACATAATCCATGTTACATAATCATAATTGCATCTGAGTACATACTAAAGGTAGCATGAAAGAAAGATAAACACATAGGAAGATGTAGAAGTGAGGTCAGATGAAGGATATTCTAAGAAGAGGCATCAGAATTGTGTGAGCTCATGCCAGTATCATTAGGTCTGGCCTGTGCTGAGGCATAATGAAAATGTAGGGAAGGCCCTGCCATGGGTTGAACGATGGGGGGAGCCCCAGTATGATGGGTGCTTGGGGCACTTGGAGGAGCCACTGGAAGGGGTGGAGAGGGCAATGGGCTTGGTTCTTCATTGTTGAGTTTCATAATGAATTTGGTGAGCATTTGAAAAATGTGCTTGTGAATGATGGCTCCTTCAAGATTGGACTCCATGTGATGAATTTGAGTGCACCATTTGTTGATAATGGGCTTGAATTCTGTGAAGTACTCTGATACCCTGTCCATCAGAATATCATCTTTGGACATGGCTCCCTTCTTTGCCAAAAAGGTGGCAAGCAAACCGCTTGTAGCACCCAAATTTTCATAGGCATCTGCCCATGGCATAGTCATCTTATCCCAAGTTGGAGCAAGTGTACCATGTGCCCCGCTGTACTTGGAAATGAATTTGAAAAAAATGTAAAAAAGGGACTTGAGGTCATCACTGGAGTTGTGCTCAACCAGTTCCAGCTGAGTGATGCTGTTGGTGTTGCTATTGCTCTTTTTTGCATCAATGGTTGTCTTTGACTTCTTGATGATGTCAGCATTCTTGGACATTTTTTTCAAGATGTGCATAGAAATATATGGTACAGTTCCCTGAAATGTTGAGTTCAGCAATCAACAGCAAGAACAATGAACTTCATGTTCAAACTTACAGTACCAAATGAAACTGTGAATGTCTTGCCCTCCTTTATGATTGATGTGTGATCAAAATCAATGAAATAACTGATGCCTTCAGAAATTACAAAGTTGCTTGGGCTAAGGTCTCCATGTAGAACTCTTTGTTGGATCATTGCCTCATGAGCTATAGATAAAATGTGAGATGATACAACAAACCAAGCGCATGAAACTGAACTCACCAACCATGAAGTCATGAAAGGCACAAATCAGCTCCTTTCTGGAGCTGAAATCCCATAACGGATCTTCACATGGGGTCAAGAGAAGGTGCAAGTGATACCTGTTACAGAACCTCTTGTCCGGCCTGTCGCCAAGCAGGGCACCATATCCATCCTGAATGTGGGCTGTGCAGTCAGGCTCCCCATTGAATTGGACATCCCAATGGTCTATGAGTTGGACCACATTAGGCATGCCCTTGACCCTCTCAAGGACATCCACTTCATGGTATCTCTTCACCTCAGTGACCCAACAATCTTTCATTGTGTACTCCTTCCTATCTACAGGATCCTGAACATGGTAGCAAGCTGTTCCACAACAAAATAGACCCTGGCTCTTCAACAGAACAGCCATAATCAAGTACCTGTTATTAGAATTGTTAGTTACCCAACCGATTACCCCCGCTGCTAGGTTGGTGTGAGTACCCTTGCAAGAAGGGATGCACATATGGATTGTGGGGTCAAGACCCAAGAGACTCAGATCTCCTAACAAGAGAGCAGCTATTGCATCAGCAACATGAGAGGGTGAGGATTGGATGGGAGTCGGAAGAGTTATGATGAGGCCTGAGTGGTCACAATAATGGGCACGAAGCTGTTCTACACAGATAGAGAATGAGAGGATGAAGTGATGCCAGGGCTGTTCTCACATGATGAGATATGATTTAGTGGCAGACCCCCAGTACACTCCTAAGTCATGCCTCTTGCTGAAGTCAGAGGTTGTATGCTCGACAAAGCTCAGGACATCTGTCCATGTTTTCTTGTAAGCTTTACTCTTGTAATAGAATAAAGTGATGTTAGGCTTTTGTGCAATGTAAGGGTCTAGTATTGGTGAGTTAGCAAACTCTGCAGACCAGTATCATTTGATGTTTAATATTTGGAAGGGAAGTTTGACTTGAATTTTTGAATTATGGTGCAGGGCGTACTGAACAGCTTTGAAGAGGCACTGCAAGTCTTTCTTGGTTGATGAGGCTTACATCCCCTCTTCGATCCTGGTTTGCAGTGCCATCATATTCATCACAACTCCAGGTGCCATCTGTGTCCTGGGAGATTATCCCTGAACATTCAGAATCCAAGGCCTCAGCATCTGTGTCAACAATATCTGTGCTGGTACCAGATTCATCATCCGAGTTGCCTGACCCAGAGTTGTTGTTCTGATTGGTGAGTTTAGGCCTTTTTTTGTGACTGAAGTTCCACACACCCTGAAGATATACTGGTGGTCCATTAGTTTGACCATAATATTTGATCTGTTCAATATGTCTGGTCTTCAATGAAGATTTGGAACAAGTTGGTGGAAAAGGCTAGCATTGTCCTTGATGTTCAGGTCAGCCTCAAAGATGATGTGGCCTTTGAGCTCTGATCTAAGTAAGTCTTTGATGAGATTGTAGGTGTGACCACCCTTGGGCGGGAAGCCTGTCAAGCTGAGTGAAGGGCCACAGAGATAAAGGTCAAACAATGTGGTGGGGTGTGACATTGGAGTAAGTGAGCAGGTTGAATGGTGTCTTGCTTTGGATTTGTCCAAGTCAATGCTACTACTACTAGTATGGAGTGATGAATACTGCAGACCAGTGCATTCTATAACAACAGCTCACCTGTCTGTCTGAATAGTTATTAAGCAAGTGCACTCCCTCTACTAGTGGACAGGGTGCAAGCAATGCTGGCAATGCATGGGCATTGGTTCCTCATCAATCACACTTTAGGGTTTCTCAGCACTGGTACATGTCAACTATGATATCACTAAGAAACAAAATGAGCAAACAGTAACTATCCTTGTGATGCATAGTACAGGCTATCATAAATTTGCTTATCAAAGTACTTATTCAAATAGAATGAGGAATGATCATGTGCAGAAGTAGACTTAGTCAACCTAGGATCCACTGCAGCACCCAGTTTTGGGATGATGCTGATGAATGCTTGAATTTATGTTAGAGGAACAATATCTCCCACCAGAGTACCATTGACATGTTTTGTGCATGTTAATGTGTGCATTTCAGGTGACAGGATCAACTGCACCAATCTTGAAGCTGCGCACATAACAAAGATATTGATCATGCACCATGTAATATGTGAGCCTCATTGAGGTATTGGTGCATGATAAGTTGCAGTTCACAGACAGCATGACCTTTAAAAGAGGGGAAAGGTGTCAGTGGCAATCAAAACATATACAATTACTAAAGAGCTCACCCATTAGCCCTGACTCAGGCCAATCATGCAGTGCTATTGACATTGAAAATGGCAACATCTTGTCAACCTTTTGGCCACCCAGGGCATGCAGGAGATGCATGCATGGTTTGTGCAGGTAAAACAATACTTGGATTGTGAAGACAAGCTTGCTGCAAGCAAACAGTATGCCATACTTGAATGCTGTTCGAAATGAATATTCAGAGGGTGGTTGATTAGCAGTCTTCTTGAAACCCCCACTCCAAAGACTCCATCTCCATTCCTTGCATCATGTGAAAGAAGTCTGAGAGAGTGTGCCACAGATCCAGGATGTTAAATTGATCAGCAACCTCATCAATTTTCAAGCCAGTGTAGGTGGGGTTACAATTAAGATGAACAGCAGTGCTGCCAGCAAGGAACGTATGAGGAGGGTGAGCCTGAGGAATTCCATGCCTTGTAGCAGCTGACATTCTTATTTTGCTGAAGTAGTTGGAAGTGGTATGCATGTGATTCAGTTCCTCTAAGAGTGTAGTTTGCAGATCCATTGGTTCATTATTCTCCCCATTTTCTTCCTTATCCTTGTCCTTGTCCTCATCTCATTCATCCTCACAGAGTTCTTCAAGATTAGGATCTGTGGGAGAGCTCTTGAGAGATGTAGCAACTGCAAACAATGACAGTTTCTCTTCTTGATCTAAGTGACAACAGATCTGGGATTGTAATCATTGTTGTTAGTATGTTATGCTGGGTCCTTGATTTCAGAGACATGCACATGTTCAGTTGCATCTGCAGGCCACTGGATGAGGGCACCAACTTGGCATGTGCTAGTGGTAATGCTCTGCATGAGCTCTAGCTTGGGTATGTGCCAATTGTCAATCACTCTCTTCACACCCATCCGAGCGCCTAGTGTCATGATAACATCTTTATTATCATGAAATAGTGTGAGTGATCTGTCAATAGATGTGAGTAAGTTGTTATCAGGTTTAGGAGACTGCGCCAAATATTAGACATCCATTAAAGCACAAATTGTGATCACAAATCAACATGGGAGGCTGCACCAGTGATCAGTCCAACAATGTAGCACTGTATATCATGATGGACTCTGCCTGTGACCTGCTTCAGTTTGGATATTCTGTTGGGGAAGTGGTGATAACCTGTGATAGGTTGCAATATTGAGAATTAGAAATCAAATTCTGGCACTCCAAGAACTGCAAGACACCATTGCATGTCATGGTTATAAAACTGTTTATGCCAGTGATGCAAAGCTTCCAGTGTAAGAAATATTGCAGGATCACTCAACAGCCAGCCCTTCCAGAAAGGCACAAAGACACCATTTAGCTGGAATTCTGCACATGCAGCAAAAAAGCCTTCCAGGTTATTGGGATCAACATCAATGCTGGTGAGTTGCTCAAGAGTAATTTCATGTGTATGTGCAGGGTGACAAAAGTTGTCCCCAAACTACAGATACAATGCCAGTGTAAATGGAGAAGTTTTACCATGCACACATGTGAGCATACATGCCTCAGGGGTATTGACAATGTATGCTGCAAGGGGGGTAAAATAATGGTGGATGTTTCCTACTGGGTCAGACATCATGATTCCAAGTTCAGCGGCTTTCATCAGGGGTTGTAGAATGATTGAAAGACATTCATAGATGAGGTGATCTTTGAGCATACCCCGCATTCATTGATTGGGGTGTAAGTATTGTGGGATGGGAAGGAGAGCCATGAGCATAAACACCTTGGATAAGAGCTTTGTGCAAGTGCGCATATGAATATTAGCAAGGCCTAGCAAAAGTGGGTGTGTGACCCTAGCACCTGTCATTGTCATGATATTGGTTTTGTCAGGTGAAAGCACAGTGCCAAGGACTGTTGCACCTTGGGGCAGTTGAACCTACAGTTTTGTGAGATAAGGCACATTGTGAGTTCATCGTAACACATACCTGGATGCTCCAAACAGTGTCACCTGTCAACCATTCTGAATATACATGCAGGAGCCGTGCTGCAGTCTTGTAAACATGACGAGGGACAAAGTCAAGTTGGTCATGAAAGAGGGGGTTACTGAAGAGACTCTCCAAACACTCAACTAGATCCCTCCAGAATAGTTGAATTGGACTTTTTGTGCCATGAAGCGAGGGAATGACTTGGCATTTCCAGCTTGGTCCCTTTGGCAGCATTTCAGCCTGACCTCACAAATCTTTAGCATTGTTAAAGGACAACTTCAATCATTTTATCTGCGAGGTAATGTCACAATCGAAATGTGAAAGGAAAAAAAAAGGATATGTACCATGGAGAGCTGCAAAAATTTGTTGATTGCTGCCATGCTAAGGGCAGAACACAGGAGGAAGTCAGCAACCTCCCACTCTTCCCTTGATGCAAATGGGTAAAACAGGTTCTCCTTCCTGTATTCTGCATGCCCATTGGCATTGAAAAGATCCAGAAATGTGAGACCATCCTGAGAATAGCACTTAGCTGCACCCTCATACCATTCCTCATTACTCAGAGGTAGGTCTCCCACTGTATCGAGAAATTCTCCATCTAAGTTGGTATCCATGGCATCCAGAGTATCAAATTGCAAGTCATCACCGACATTAAGACTCTGACCCATACTAGTTTGAGGTGGATCAAGGGATTGTTGTGGTGGAGCTATGTCCGCAAACTCCAAGATGTCAACAATGTCATGAACAGAACTGTGACAAGATGTCTGAGGCTGGCTTAGATGGCGAGTGATGCTGGAGTCCCTGGTAAATACTTTTCTGCACTTTGGACATGTAGGTATTGACATATTGATTGATATGCACAAGTTCCCATGCTGCTTTTGCAAAATCTTCTACATAAGTCTAGCCGTATGATCATAATATTATATATTGCTACTACCTGTGCATCCATATGTTCCCTGATACTAAAAATGTTTCTCGCACCTCTCCCCAAAACACCTATTCTCCTTCCTCTCACCATTCCTGCTATTCTTCTTCTGACTCCCACAATTCTGATGCCTCTTCAACTTGAGGCATGTCACCCTGGGGTGATTCCAGGTATCCATGCCTTTCACATCCTCCATCATGATCATACCCTGTTAAGAAGGAGGCAGAAGAAGAAGAGAACTTACCTGTACTAGCAATGCATTTTGTGAATCACAATACTAATGTGTTGCTTTGTTACTCATATCTGCTATCTGCAGGAACAAGACTCAGCTGAGCCCTACTACTTGTTCAATCAACTGGAAGAAGATAACTCTGACCTCGCACTCAAGGCAGCCCAGGTCAAACACAAAGTGTGTCAATGTCATATGCCATTCTGGACCCTCAACTCTAAATCTGCTTCTCTGGACATCTGGATCTGAGATCTGGATCTCCAATGATCTGATCTATTTTTATCTTCCTTCTGGAATCCAAACTCTATATCAGCACCCAACCCCATTTAGACTTCCCCTGTCTCCAGACTCTGGTTAACTATGTTTCCCTTTTGATTATTGATCCATTACATACATTTCATTTCCAATATGCATTATTTGTGATCCATCCTACTTACTAATAGACTTTGCATATGCTTCATACATAGCCTTTGTGTTTGCTGACTGATTCCTATATGATACCTACAGTATATAGACCTCCTGGAACTCTCGGAAATACCTCAATTCGAATATCATCTTAGTTCCTGCTCATTCCTGTGTCCTCCAGACTTGAGCCAAGTCTCTTGTCATACTCTGAGTCTTAGGATTGCATCCTAGACTACATCTCTGACTCTACCTTAGGGTAGTCTATCCCCTGTTAATTTCTAGTCCAGACTTCGTCCAGATTAGCCTTATCCACTTGTCCAAGTAACATCTGGACATCCATCGGATTTATCTCACATTTCAGATCTGGATGTCCATTATCTGCCCTAGTCAAATCCCAGAAACTCTGGACAACTATTCTAGCCCCCGGAAATTAAGGGCACATACTTGGGAAAGGGGCACAGTGTATGAGCTGAGGCCAAGCCCTTGTGATCCAACCCCCTTGAGCACGCAACCTTAACAGTCAAGCTCAAAAGCACCTGGCTGACTGCCTTTTGGAACAACACCAAGTACTCACCCATATCTGCTGCCACTGGGCAGAAGCTGCAAACATGCATCTATTATTGGCCGACCTCAATGTCAGACGCATGCACTCAGAGCACCAGAGGAAAAACAGCATCACAATGTATGCTACTCTTCAAGCATGACATGAGCAGTGAGTGCGTTTTTCTTTCATAGTTACTACTACTGTTCTCAATTAATAATCTATTAGACCATGCAGTATACCAGTAGATAGTCAGTTCTCTCACTGCACATATATGTATATAAAATTACTGCTAGTAGTATATACTGGTACTATATCCTTTTTGCATGTTACAGTGTGTAACAGTTTGTGTCGTTTGTACATTTGTGTGCTATTTGTCTACTTGTGCTACTGTGCACTTGTGGCAGACTTGTAGTCATTTGTTTGTGTTGTCTGTGAGACTTGTGAGGACATGTGATACCTTGTGTGAAGTTGTTGAAAGTGTGGGAATTGTCATGAAATCAGTGGTTTGCTGATGCACCCAAACTGTTACTTTGGCTGAGCCTTCCTAACCAAGCACTGAATGAGCAACTGACCTCTCCTGCATCAAATGGTGCTCTGAACTCATTCACCAGTACTGTATTGGACAAAACAAGAAAGGAAGCACTGTCCTCAGCCTCTGTGAAGCCCTCATTGATTCACCAGCTGTCAGGGGTGGAAGAAACCTTGACAATGCCCTTGAAGTCTTCATTGGCATGCTTGACAAAATCGACACATCAAATTGAGTTGCCTCAGAATGTGGGCATGCTGCAGAGGGAAGGGTTCAAGAAGAGGAAGCTGAGTGAGAGAATAGGGGGCCAGCCGATGTTGAAGAAAGTGAGAGTGGAAGCAAGCGTTCAAGGGAAGGATCCTTGTCTGAAGATGATACACCTTCCACCAAACATTCAAAAGTCATCAACACAACCAAGTTTCCCTGGTCACAAAGGCAATCAGCAGCACTTGCCTCTCTTCCTGCAGATATCTGAGAAACATACCATCAACTCGAAAACTTTGCTGCAGATCCCAAAGGCATTGTCACTGACATCCTGTCCACACCAGGGTGCCCCCCATTTCCACCCAGTGAATGGCTTAATATTGTGCAGTGGAAATATGTCGACCTCGGGAAAGTCCTTGACTCTGCACACACCACTGAACTTGACCCTAAGAAGACACACATCATTGATGATGAAATTGAACTTGCACTCTGGGTCTCTAAGTCCTCAGGAGGAATTAAGACCTCATCAGATCACAATATCATGTTCTCCATGTATATTGAGGCCATTGCCTTTGTCTTCCCACAGTGGTGAGACAAATTTGTTCAATATCATACCTACCTCAGTCACCTCTTCCATGCCATGGAAATCTGACTTCATTCGTGGGTCATCAAGTTCAATTGTTCAGTCCAAAACCAAGTTGCCATGCAATGAAATCTTCACCTCACTGATCATTCCTAGTTTGAACACCTTTGAACAACATTCCTCACCTCTTTTGGCATTGGTTCCAATTCTGCCTCATCCTCAGCTGGGTCAGAAGGTAGATCAAATAGGCAAGAGGGAAATAGAGGAAGGGATGATCCCTGTCACAAATGGAATAGAGGCACCTGCTCCAAACCAGATGGCAAGTGTCATTTCACTCACTGCTGCGACTAAAGGGGATGTCAGGGTGCTCACTGAAAATCTGAGTGCCCAAACAAAGGAGTTGCTAAATGAGGGTATCATGCATGGTCAAAAGTTTCGACATAAGGGAGTTTGGGGACTGGGAGTGTCATTTTACAGCAGGACTGCCCTATGGACTGAAACTGTGACACCCATGCCTCAACCACCTGTTTGCACATTCCCAAACCTTGACGCCATGAATACTATTCAGACTCATCCCTCCTTATTCAAGGTTTCTACACCTATTAAAGCTGACGTCTTTGAGGCATTATTAGCTGATCACCCCAATCCTTCCTTTGTTCGCTCAGTCTGTGATGGACTGTGTGAGAGGTTTTGGCCCTTTGTAGATACCCATCCTAATGAGTGGCCTCCAAAGACTGATGCCGAAAAGGAGTTTCTATGTACTCAGATTGAGAAAGAAGTTGACATTGGGCGTTATTCTCAAGCTTTCGGACCAGATCTGCTACCTGGGATGTATAGTATGCCCATCCATGCTGTGCCGAAACCAGGAACCAACAAGCACCAGCTGGTTACTGATCACAGTGCAGGAATATACATGCTCAACTCAATGATATCTCACAATGACATTGCTGGTGTCACTCTTGATAATGTCCATGATTTAGTGAATGGACTTCGTGCCTTCAGACATACTCGACCTCATGCTAAGTTGAATCTTTGGAAGGCTGACATCTCAGAGGCCTATTGTCATATGCCAATGCATCCTTTATGGCAGATCAAACAAATAGTTAGCTTTCAAGGTCGTTGCTATGTGGACAGACATAATGTCTTTGGAGGGAGAGCATCTCAGAGAATTTATCACACCTTTATGTCTCTGGTTATCTGGATTGCAATCTTCAAGATTCTTATTCATTTCCTCTACATATATGTTGATGACTCTTTCTCATTTGAAGACAAACACAGTCTCAAATTCTATGCGCCTTACAACAAACTTCTTCCTGCAATATGGTGAAGTTACTTTGCTTATGGGACGCCATTGGGTTGCTGCATGAAGAGAAGAAACAGGTCTTCAGGTTGGAGTTGCCAATTATCGGGTTTGATGTTGATTCTAATATCATGTGGGCTTGTACAGTGACTTGCAAAACTGTTACAATGTTTGGTACTTTTTCAGTGTACACAATATAGCACCTATGCACATGGGAATCATGCTTAGTGTTGGTGGGGGCATGTGAACTATAAACTCTTGGCTACAGACTGACACTTGGATCACATGATTTGGCCAAGGGGATGTGAGATATGCCTATTTCAAGATGGAGATACCATTGTAACAGTTTTGCAGCTGTTGATATAGATGGTGGGATCTCAGTCAAATCAGAGGATGGTTACTGTTATTTGCTTATACAAATAAAAATATACATAAAAATATTATGTCTGAGTTTGAAATTGCTCCCATGCTTCTTTATTTTTAATCATTACCACCATGGGATCTCTCTCTACTACTCAAAAGAATACCATTCTCTTTTAGCTTAATGCTAGTCATTCTATTCACTCTATTGCCTCCACAACTGGTGTCAGCACTACTACTATCTCCAAGCTTCATTAAAAAGAGTGTTCCTACTTGCAAAAGTTGACTGGTGATCATTCAACCAAGCTTTCCTCAGTCAATATTTGTCAACCTATTTGTTTCATCTTCACTCAGCAGGCAGAAACTGCTATCCAAGTGCTCAAATCTTTTTCAAATATTGTCAATTAGCCCCCCAACCCAAGTACCACTTGCTGTTACCTGAAAAAGCTGGGATGAGGGCTGTGGTCAAGTCCAAACACTCTCTACTGTCTGCCAAATATTGCAAAGCACACTTGGACTTTGCCTATACTCACAAAAATTGGACTTTGGAGGACTGGAAGTTGGTCATATGGTCTGATGAAACCAAAATTAATCACCTAGGGTCAGATGGTTGCAATGGGCTTGGAAAAAGTCAGGAGAGAGACATAGTGACAGATTGGCATAAGGAACTATCAAGTTTGATGGAAGTTCTGTGATGATATGGGGCTGTATGACCTGTGAAGAAGTTGGCTATGCTGCTAAGATTGATGGTAGAATGGGTGGAGATCTTTACCTTCAAATTTTGAAGGATAAACTTCAGAATTTCCTGGAGTTTTATAATCTTTATGCTTCTGATGTCATCTTTCAGCAAGACAATGACCCTAAGCATACCTGCAAAAAGGTCAAGAAGTGACTAGATGGGCAGGAATTTATGACTATGGTGTGGTCTGCACAATTTCCTGACCTTAACCTATTGGAATATCCCTGGGACCTTGTCAAAAGGAGACTTGCAGAGTATGAGCATTTCCCTAAGGAAATAGTAGCAATGGTTGGGAATAAAGAAGCATGGGAGCAATTTCAAACTCAGACATAATATTTTTATGTATATTTTTATTTGTATAAGCAAATAACAGTAACCATCCTCTGATTTGACTGAGATCCCACCATCTATATCAACAGCTGCAAAACTGTTACAATGGTATCTCCATCTTGAAATAGGCATATCTCACATCCCCTTGGCCAAATCATGTGATCCAAGTGTCAGTCTGTAGCCAAGAGTTTATAGTTCACATGCCCCCACCAACACTAAGCATGATTCCCATGTGCACAGGTGCTATATTGTGTACACTGAAAAAGTACCAAACATTGTAACAGTTTTGCAAGTCACTGTATGTCCAATGCTTCACATTCTCAGCTTATTCAAGAGCTGGTCAATTTCGCACATAAGGGTTCTCACAGATCTTTGCAGGACTTTCAGTGCCTGGCAGGATGGCTCAATTGGGCCCTCAATGTCTATCCTCTTCTTTGGCCTGGTCTCTCTGTGTTATATGCAAAGACTGCAGGAAAGCTTGTGTCGAAGGCCCTCATCTGGGTCAACCAAGATGTAGTGCGAGAGCTTAGCTGGGTCATAGGTCATCTTCAGGCTGCAGAAGGAGTTTTCTTCCTCAAGTCTGTCTCCTGGAATCCCTCATGACTTCAGGATGATGTGTTCAAGGTTTACACTGATGCATCGGGTGATGGGCTTGTGTATTGATTTCCTGAACTCAATATCAGCTTCCAGTGTCCTTTGCCTACTTCAGTGCCAACCGGAACAATATTCTACTTCAAAGCCTTGGCAGTGACTGCTTCTTTACTTCACACTATCAAATGCCAGCATCCACATCAGCAAGTTGCAATATTCTCAGACAACCTTAACATGGTTTCGATGTTCAACTCCCTCATGGCCCTTCCTCCTTATAACTGGCTTCTCATGACCTTGGTTGATGCTTTACTTGACACTGGAGTTGATTTTAGGGTTTTCTTTGTATTAGATGTTGATAATGTGGTTGCCGACCACTTATTGCATTGGAAGAATAGTGAAGCTGAGCTTGTCTCTCCAGGTCTTCACATTTGTCCCTTTACACCCCCTTGGAATGCACTGGGGGTAGCAAGAAAATGATCCCAGTCCCTGTCTGGGCCAGACAACCTCAGTGGATTGTTTGGTCACTTGAGTGTCTCATCCATGAACACTCAATTCTTCTCGGTTATGCTCTCAACAATTCTACTTCTCACATCTATTCTTCTCATCTGAACTCATATCTCACTTTCTGTGAGAAACACCATCTACCTATTGACCCTACCCCCAATACACTCTCCTTCTATGTCACCTTTATGTTATATCATATTCAACCTTGTTCCATTGAGGCCTACCTATCTGGCATTGTCGCCAACCTCAAACCTCATTTTCCTCATGTGCAGCAATCTCGGCAGTCATGTCTCATCAAGCACACACTCAGAGGTGTGTTGCAGTCTCTTGGTCATCCTGCTTTGTGGAAAGCACTAATGGTGTGGGATGATCTCGCGCACATGTACTCTAAGTTGGCTCATCCTTTGACTCATGATGACTTACTGTGGGTAACTCAGCTGCATTGTGGATTCTATGGCCTACTTCGCCTTGGTGAATTGGTGGTGTCTGACAAAATATCAATGCATGATTGCGCAAAGAAATCTTTGTGCACATCAGTATGCTTATCAAGTGGGAACTTTTCATTCCTTCTTCAGTGGGACAAGACAGATTTGCATTATGAAGGGAATTGTGTTGTTATTCAGCAGAATGCTGCTGGTTCAGACCCTTTACCTCTTTTTATGCAATATCTCAGCTCTCACAACACTCAATTTCCGCTTCATCCTTACCTTTGGGTGAGATCTAATGGGCAGCTACCTTCTTGGTCATGGTTTGTCCACAAAATGTGAACATTCTTTCCAGTAGATGTCTCTGGACACTCCATGTGTGCAGGGGGTGCAACATCTCTAGCCACAGTGGGGGTGTCTCCTGATGGTATTCACACCATTGGGAGATGGAAATCAGACACCTGGGAGCATTATGTGTGCAAAAATTGGACACTGCTTCAAGTGTTATTGTTTAATGGTTGTGCCATTCATGACCTGCTGTTTGCTTCTGTGTAATGTGAGCGTGGCTTATGTATTATTATTTATCCTTATCCTTATCTTTTCTTCTTATCTTTTTCTTTTAATCTCTCCCTCCCTTCCCTCCATTTTATTAGTGAAATAGTGTTCATCACTTCAGTCTTTGTATTTGGGGGTTCACTTGCTATCTGTCACATCAGTTTTCTGCTAGTCCTTAATTGCAGCCAGTTCCCTTGGAGCATCAAGGGAACATTTTTTGACTATACCAGCATGCATGCACCTATATAAGTTGTGCAAGGCCCATTAGAAGCATGTTATTAACATGTTATTAACAGTCATGTGACCAAAAAATGATGATTTTTGCTGCAGCTACTACCAAAATTTTCTGCCCCACTCAGTGTCCTTGTCCTCTAGGTCAGCATCATCCTCAGTAGCATCACCACCCAGGCCATTGATAGGACTTTCCTTGCATTCATCAGACAATACTTTGGTGACAATTGGTGCATGAAGGTTTGCATCTACTTTGATGTTGAAGGCTAAATCCTGCACTGGTTTGGCTGCTAGCTTCTCATCAAGCCATGTGTCTTTTTCATCTTCAAGAGTTTCTTCCTGCTTATCTGTGCCCACAGATAGATAGCTGCCAGTGGGCTCATAACTTTGATGAGCAGCTGGTTCTTTGGGTGTTGAAATGATGGAGTTGAGATTGCCAAATGAAATGTCTGGGTGCTGTCTTTCGACCATTTTCTAAGAGATGTGAGTTGTCAATACAGGCCACTGAATAGGACACTGACCTTTGGATCATACATATGCCATTGTCAAATCTGAGTCATGTCCACCAGTGTCCAGACATGTTGACAGTTCCTGGCTGCTGTATTCATCCTCATGAATACTGACATTGTTCATTCCTCAGGTATAGATGAGGGCTTGATTGAATCAAGTTTTTCTGCGATACACTGGAGATAAAGCCTGAGTTACAAGTAGTCAGGATTGGCTGAAACTCACAGTGAGTATGCAACCTTCAGGTATCTTTGTTAAGTGACTCCAGTATGAGAGGATGCCCTGACCAGCATCCATCATCACATCAAAAGGGTACTGTCCTTTTACATAGCACTCAAACTGGCACACAAAAGCTTCATGAACATCAGCAGCTGTTTTTCCTTTGAGAGTGGGGTTGTGCTGGGATTTGAACTTGGCTTCAATGACAATTTTGAGGTACTTGAAAACTCGGATGTAAGTTGGTGATGTGAGGATATCTGGCACAACTGTTGAAGGAATGCGAGGAACCTTGATTTTGATAGAGAGTAGGTTATATAGGATTGCACTGTGAACATAGCCTGTCTCACATGAGATAAGGATCAAAGGTGAAGAATAAGTGAAACATACGTGGATCTAAGCACAAAGCTGCAAGATAGCAGTCAGCTGGCCCATCTTTGAGCTGCTCATGAAAGCAGGAATTGACAATAGCATAAATTTGGCCCATCTCTTTGACATTAAAACCACTCAACAAATCCTCAAATATCTGTTTGATGCATCTGCAAATTGCCAACCAATATTTGTACACATCAGCCGGATTTGTCTGCATCAACTCAAGACACACAATAGCCTTTGCAATTGGGCCCTGAACATCAATGAAACAGGCAAGGCCTAGTTCGAAGTTCAATCCACAATGGCTGCCAGACTTGATTATGCTTGCTAAGTCTGCTTTCTGTAGTAATCAATGAGTTGATAATAGATGGGGTGTGAAAACCACATACCTTGCCTGGAAATTTGATTGATCCAGTGTCAACAAGTTCTCACAATGCTGGGAGGCAGCACTGAACAGAGATAGTGGCAGTGCAGATAGTGGCAAAGCATGTTTTGCCAATTCCTTTGATTCCTCGAGTCATCCCCTTTTGTAGCCTTACACATTTGAGTGCATCATATGCTTGGGTCAACTTGCAGAAGTATGTCACAAGGGAACAAAGTTGAGAGATCATCTAAAAAAACACAGTTAAAACAGTTATTGGACTGAATATGAAAGATTGCAAACATCTTTGAACATTGGAAGCTTCATGATGTCCTTGCAAACAAGGTTGAGGTGATGACATCTGTCTGACATAGGAATCAGTGTCTTGACAGCTTGACAAACAATTTGTCAAGCAACACAAGTATTACCAGTGTTGTCAGAAGCTATCCTGGAAAAGCAGAAGCGGCCAACCAGGTCCATTGCATTGAGCAGCATGTGTGCAATGTGCTCACCCATGTGTGAGGTGTCTGATGATTCTTTGCCCTTGATGAGAAAGCTACGGCTGTCTGGAGTAGTAAAATGGACTGTGTATGCAGATTGTGGTTGCTTCATTGTACCACCATCATATGAAATGGTGAGGTTGAATCGTGTCTTGAGGAACTTGATGCTCAGTATCCAAACACAAGCAGCTTTGCCAGGGATATGTTTGTCAGCAATTAGGGTGCTGCTGGATGGATGGTATGCTTTGTTTGCAATCAGGAAGATCTCTTTCAATTCAACATAGTTGACAAGTGTTGGGGAATTGCAGCTGCACATATGAGCTTGACAATTGCAAGGTCTAGCCGTGCTTTGAGGTATTCACATCCCACCTTGCTACACTCCACTTTGAGCCTTGACTTTGAATGTTCAACAACACCAACAACACTGGCCATAGTCATCTCTGCATCCTGATAGGCCTTTGGCAATGGATTCATGGTTTGCAAGTCCTCCCCTCTAGCCACTTCTAGCTTCTCTATTTGTGCTCCTAAGCTCTCACTGGCTAGGAGCTCAGTGACTTCATGACGGAAGGTAACAGGTAGCTGGTGGCATGAAGCTGTGTGTTTCAACAGACGTTTCCAGTTGGCAGGGGCAGCTAAACTATATTTGCAGTTCTTCCTGAGACATCGATACCATCGCTTTTTTGGCTTGCTGAGCTTGTGACACTGCCTTGTCACCTTTTCAAGCATGTTAGTACATGGTTGGCCAACTGTTTTGCCATTGGTATTTTTCTGCTTCTTTGGCTCAATATCTACTAGTTGCCCCCTGAACTGAGGTTCTGCGGTGTCAGAATCATCATCAAGCATGTCCGCCTTTATTTTCAGGTAAGTAAACTTGACTGAAGATCAAGTTGATTGGCAACTCACATGACTTTGCTTCTTCTTGAGCTTGAATATCAGTGCAATGGACTCATGGGGTAGTATAGTAGGCAGAACAGACACAGATGCAGACACTGGTGGTAGTGGTATAGTAGATGAAAGTGGTGTAGTGGACACAGATGTTGGTGGTAGTGATGGGAATTGTGATGACATGACATGATGCTCAATAATGGCATTTCCATAATGCAAACATGCAATATCTGTGTCGGAAGATGATAATAGAGGGAACTTCATTGGTTGGATGAAATGAGTGAGGGCATTGGCAGCTAAGACACTGCAGGAGTGTGTATCCTCCTGGCAGGAAATCTGTAGATCATCCCATGTCAAGGGAGTTGGTGAATGGTGCAAGAGCCACCAGTCAATGGCTGCCTTCAGGTTATTTGGAATAGCTGTGCCAAATGAGTCTCCATAGAGGACTTTCTGGTCCTCTGCATTGATCAGAACTGCAGTCCAATGGTTCTCATGGATATGGCAAGGGATACCAAGGTTTTTGTAGTGTCCCTTGAACAACTGCTCAGTGGCATTACGAAAAGGTTTTGCCTCCCATGAGGTCAAATAATCTTTCTCGGCACACTCATCATGTGTGAGTAATAGTAACAGCACAAAATATGCAGTTTCAAAGGTATGCTTCAATGCTACATCCTTATCTCCATATACAATGTCCAACATCATATTCAGATTTGTATTGGTTAGCCATTTCTGCAATGTGAAATCTGCAAGGGTGACCAGTCACAGAAACCTTTTGTGGAGCCTGACCAAGACAACCTGCTCAAGGCAAGATGGAAGGTAGAGGCCACTGGATTGGATTGACATTTGGTAAGGAAGGCTTCTGCCTGTCACCATTTGTTTTGGATGTTGAGGAGAGTATACACTTGGTGCCAAAATGTCAGAATCCAGAATGGAAAAGATTGATTGATGTCAGCATGAGCATATACAATAGACCAGCTACCATCTAATCTTGCATGTTGCACCCCTTCTAGGAGCTGGTGCAAAACTGCAAGCCAGGGAAGTGGCTGTGTGTGGAGATAATCGAGATATGGGGTGTCCTCAGGTGGGGGGTCAGTGTCAAGGTATTCACACAATGGTGGAGTGGTCATAATCGAAGCTGACGGGAGTGGGGATTGAAGGAATGATGAGACAGACAGATTCTGATCTGGGAGAATAATTGATTGCACTGATACAGGAATAATAAGATCATTATCATCTGAGGCTTTTGTGTCGACCATTTTGAGTGCTTGACTGGTGCAAGACTTGGAGGGAGGGAAAACCAGTTGAAAGTTTCATTGTGACACTCAAGTCCCATGTCAGACCATAGCTTGCTTCTCTGTAAGATTTGCATTGTAAACGTCAAAGTCAATGATCTGCAAGGAACAACAGAAGGTCAGAGGGCAACTCACCAAGACTACAGGGTCAATAGACTTATTAACACTATGTCAACCCCCCATGGTCATGTGCCTGTTATTAACAACTGACTTTTCATCTGTACCCTATTTACCACTGCATAGACTGCTCAAAATCAGTTCCTGACAAGCTGACATTACTTGCCAATTGCCTCAAAGCCATCCTGCTGATCTGCAACAAGGGCAAAGACACAAAGGTCATCAAGAGGAATCTGGATGATATGTAAGTCAGAACTTCAAATCTTGTGGAAGGTGATTAATAGATTGATGCCACTGTAAAGTGTGAAGAGCAGAGTAGAAGATCAGATGTACAAGCCTTTTATCCAGGCTTTGAACCTTGCACTTGACTGATTGAGCAAACTGAACATAGCTGGATTGGGTTGTTCAAAGGGGCACAACGACCATAAGATCCTGTTTCATCAAGATGATCTGAAGAACATAACCCAAAAGCACCAAGGTGAGAAGTCTACATGCAAGCCTAATGACATCATTGTATCCTGCACAGGTGCTAAGAAGGTGCAGAAGCAGTCAGGTCAAGCCTACAAGGATGAGGAGGTGTGGGAGAAGCCCACCAAACAATTCCAATGGATGGACGTTCAATTGATGGTAGAGTTCAAACATAAGAAGATTTGGGCTGGTCTTTCAAAGCCACCTGCAACTTACACAGCAAAGGCTTATGATGTCCCTGAAGCGAAGAAGTATATGAAGTATCATAGGGAAACAAATGACACCACTGAGCCCACAGGCTCAATGCCTTTGCCTGGCAGTGGTGCTGCTACAAGTTTACACCAGACATCAGATGCACATAAGCTATCTTGACAGCGTGCACAACTGACAGTTCTTGCTGACATATGTATGGGATGCAGGAGGATGTTCAAAACAGTCTGGGTCACTGAACAACAAGAAGTGTGGCTCTAGTCAAGCACCTGACAGTCACAGCAGCAAGAAACTCAAAGTTGGTGATAATGAGGAGGTGCAAAGAATTCATCCCATTCTCCAGAATGGTTTATATGCTGTGGAATTGTTTGTGGCCCATGTGGTGCAGGAGAGCATCATTACTTATGTGGTGGATGGTAAGTTGATGAAATGCTGCAGATGTATCATGAAATTGATTGCTTGTACCAGACGACATGATTTACCTGTGGTATTTTGATCAGCAAGATGTGATTCAATGCTCCAGCATCAATTTCATGCAAGACCTTCCCTGGTTTATGGTGTTGCTGCTTGTCATACAGTGAATGCCATATGCTGGATGGGGTTACAACCAGGTAGTAGTGTTACGGCTTGGCTATGGCTGGTCTGGGCTTGGCTCTTACCAATTTCACAGCAGTTCGGCAATTCCAATGAACCAAGTTACTCATGTACAACTCAGTCTGGTCTGCAAGGCACCTGGACCGGCACAAATTGCAACAAGCCAAGGATGTGGGAAGAATGGCTTGAGCCAGCCTCAAGCCAGCTGGAGGGGGTTGTGTACATTGCATCACTTGCATCATGAACTCATTCTCCAATATATCCCCACTATTCAGTTGGATCCACTGTAAGTTACCATGCATAAGGTCCCAGTTCAAGTGGATGGGAGATTTAGGCTGGAAGATGTCTTAGGATCTAGCTTGTATGGCATGTAGTCAAATTTATTGTTCTGGTTCAGATTCACTTATGTTGTATAACTTAGCTGTCATATATTCTGCATGGAATATCATCAATGATGATCACATTGCCCTCAAACTCGAAACCATTGTCAATCACTCATCTTCTGTCATTGTTAAGAACCATGTTGCTCAAGGGAGGAAGAGACTGACTCAGAGGGGCTTGGCCTCAGCTCATATGCTGTGCCCCTTACCCAAGTATGGGCCCTTCATTTCAGATGAGGTCCAATGATGGTCCAACAAAGTCCGGAGGACATCTGGAGGCTGGCTACTCTGGTGGAGAGTGCTAGAGGACTTCCGGAGGAGTGCAGGAGAGTTCTGGAGGAATGCAGGAAGTGCTTAGGAGAGTTCCCACTGCAAGGTAATACTTCTACAGGAAACAGGATGGAAGGATAGGAGGTCCAAAGGTCCAGAGGACAGGAGGACAGGAGGACAGGAGGACAGGAGGACAGGAGGACAGGAGGACAGGAGGACAGGAGGACAGGAGGACAGGAGGACAGGAGGACAGGAGGACAGGAGGATGGAGGACAGAAGGACAGGAGGACAGGAGGATGGAGGACAGAAGGACAGGAGGACAGGAGGACAGGAGGATGAAGGACAGAAGGACAGGATGTCCAGAGGTACAAAGGACAGGATGTCCAAAGGTATGGAAGGAATAGGGGCTACATTGGATGAGGTCCGATGTAGAAACAAACAGAGGTAGACTATCCTAAGGTAGAGTCAGAGGGACAGGGATTGGACCTAAGTCCAGAAAGAGGAGAAGTGCTGGAAAGGCAGAGCTTTGGCCTAGGGAATCAATCCCTAGGCCTAATGGATAGGACAGACTTAGGTGGACCAAAGTCCAAGAGAGGATTGGGCAAGTAGAGCAAAGTCTAAGATGATATTCAAACTGAGGAACTACAGGAGTATCTACAGGGGTTATATGTATACTGGACAATGTCTGAGGGGATCAGTAAGCAAAGGAGCAGGGCTATGTATGAGCATGTGGAAACACATTAGTAAGTAAGATAGAATATAACTAAATGAACTCAGAGATGAAGACTCATACAAGGATCAATCAGCAAGATGGAATGAGAGGTAGCTGAAAGCCAGAAAGGCAGAGATGTCTAAATGGGGATAGGCACAGGATATTGGACAGAGGGCAGTGAAAGTTCAACTACTCTGCTAGGCTGCAGAGCAAAAGAAAGAAAGTGGGCTCTACCTCTGGGGTGAGAGGAAGGCTACTGACTCTCTATATGTTGGTCAAAATGCACCAAGCAATATGTTCAACCCTTAGGGGAAGCAAAGAAAGCAAGATCCACAAAGTGACTCTAAGTCAACTCTGGTGAAGCGTGCTGGGGGTGTGCCCATGGGAATGTCAAGCGCGTAAGAGTGTGAAGCATGGGAATAGGGTGCACACAGTGTGTGAATGTGTAAGAACTGAAAGATGGCATGAAGACATGAAGTGGGACTGCTGAATGGACACTGATGCTGATGGACTGATGCTGATGGCTAGGGCAATGACTCTGATGGATGCTAACTCATGACAATGATTCTCACTATGAGATACTAAGTGACATGATGGTGGTTTCTGTATCATGGTGGTGGTTGGTGTATGAAAACTTCCTAGGCAACAAGTAAGCTGTGCCTAGGCACGCTCCCAGGGCTCGGAAGTGAACAGGGAGTGCTCTATGTATGTAAAATGATGTAAGTAAAGGGTCCATGATGAAATATAGTGTCATACGATGCTAAATATGGTCTGATAGTGAGAATAAATGAGGAAGGACTCACTAGGGAACTGGTTGGACAATGGATGGATGCTCTGGGATACTGCACAACAATGTGCAACTGAGCGCGGGAAGAGCGCGCTAAGCGCCTGTGCGGGAATGCGTCGCATAGTGTGGGAATGTGTTGCACCTCTGGCGCATTTTGTGGGAAAGTCATGGATAGTGAGTCGTGCAATATACTGATCATTGTGAGTCATGATATGGGTGATCTAAGCCTGGAGGAATCTTGTTCCCTACAGCAGGAATATATCCGGAGATACTTATGGCTGATATCTGGAGGTCCGGAGATCTGAGGATCTGGAAGGTGAGGTGGATACAGGACTGGGATATGATGAGGTGGATATAGTCCTGAATCCAAGATGAGGTGAAGTTCAGATGTCTTGCTGGATGGAGTGTGCATAGGGTGGACAGGATAGGGTGGTATGGATCAGGCTAGTAGTGAGGATCCAGAGGTCTGGAGCTCAGGGGTAAATCTGGAACAGAGTTGATCCTACTGAGGTGTGGAGCACACAGTGGAAGGGGATCTGGCAATGAGTCAGATATGGGGTCTGGATGTAGGCTCGGAAGGCATGGGAATATTATGGAATGTGAGTCCAGATTGTGGGATATGACAGTTGAGCATGAATACTATATTTTGAAACAACTTGAAGGTGGAGTTGGCATCCCGCACACCTTCTGGTTTGGTAGAGAGTCAGTGCTCTGGTCCTTGAACTCCTTGGGCTGTCACTCCACCAACTTTTCCTTGTGAACAATTGAAGATTCAGCCTTCTCAATGTTGTCAATCTTGGAGTCCAGTTGGTCAGTCATTTGGTCCAAGGTCTTTGCAGATAGGTTGACTGACTTTCCCAGCTCTCATGTCTTGAGTATATTCACTCACACAATTATGTTCATGGTGACATTAAACTGCA